TTTTTATTGATTCTGACAATAATTCAGCATATGATTTACAGAAAAAGCAAATAACTTACAACAGAGGTTGAAATATAAATAGTTTTTAATGGATTTTGTAATGAGAAAAATATCACTATTTCGCTTAGTAAGACTAGAAATTCGGAGCTCTTATACAAACGAACAAAAATAAAGTAATATGAAAAAAAAGGAAAGATTGATAATAGTCAACGGCCTCACGAGGGAACTTTTTAGGTGTCTTCGCTCCTTCGCTTTCAATGGTTTTTTGCCTATAGATATTCTTTAGTATTTCTAATGAAATGACTTAAAGAAATTGAATTCTCTTCACTTCCTTCAACCAGTACGAACATTTTAATGTTGCCCCTTTTGTGGATTGTATATATTTAGAACCATAAACAGCGTTACAATACAAGATGAAAATTTTCCGTATCAAATCTCTCAAATAGACTGATTTGGCGACAGCGGTTTCACCTATTAAGAAATAAAAAAAAAGGATACATGCGTAGCATTTCATTATATAATTTTCCATGATCATATAAAAGAATAAGAAGAACAAATCAAAACGAACTTCATAAATGATTCTATGTTGTTGCACGTAGAGTAGATATTTAAGAATAGTTAGTTTAAAAAAATTAAAAATTAAAAAATTTCAATATTGCAAGCATGAAAGAATGGTTTTTGAAAGAAAGTTAGTGTTGCAATATTTCCAAGAGCTACAAATACGTATTTTACTATTGAGACATGAATATCAGCATCAACAGTAATTAGCTTCTACAACTTGATGTATGTGTATTAATACAGAATCCTTCATTTGTTCTTATTATTCTTTAATTTGATCATTGGAAATTATTTATGAAATGTTACGCATGTATTTTTTATTTCTTAATAGATGAAACTGCGTTCACGATATCAACATTACTACATAGTGGTAGTATTCGCTTACCTTATCCGTGTGAAAAAAAACACTGTATAAACGTCTACGAATAACTCAAAAAAGCAATCTATTTGAATGAACTGATACGGAAATTTTTCATCTGTTATTATAACGCGGTTGATGACTCAAGACATATGTCATGCACAATAGGCGTAACATTAAAATGTTCGTAACGTTTGAAGGAAGTGACAGGAACTCAAATCCTTTAAGGGTTTTAACTAGAAATACTAAAAAGTATCTATAGGCAAAAAATAAATTCAATTGAAAGAGGGCACCTGAGGGTGTTGGTGTAGCTGTGGATGTGGGCACTGGAGTAGGTAATGGTGTGAACATTCTCTCAATCCATATCCACATCTACACATACCCTATTGTATCCTAGAATTCTTATGTCTTCGACAGTTTATCTTGAAACTCACCAACAAGGTTCAACGTCGCGACACGAACATGAGAGTGTAGAAATATATTCTAGACAACGATGAGGCGACATCTGGTTATTTCAAATATTGGAACAAGAAAGTTCACTAAATATCTTCTAAGCAGTGCAAGGCAGACTTAGACAAGCTAGAAACTTTAATATTCATACCATAGCAGTAGTTTCACTGTTTTCAGAAGCTGACTACCATCTTCTGACTGCACAAACCTGAAAGCATTGATCCTCTTCAACACTACTTTGGTATTCGATGATTTAACCGAGCGCTCTATCCCGAGCATGTGCACTAGAATGGGGTGATAGAAGCAGTCGGAAGTACCACGGAAAACACTCTCCAAAAATACAATCCATACGAATTCACCCATTGGCATAACTGTTTTGCATTGATACCATATAAAAATAGTATCAATCGATAGAATTATAAAATCTGAGTTCAACAATAGATTTGAGAGAGCCAGCATAAATCCTGGAATAAATATCAAGGACAAATACTCAAATGTGTGGTTAACTGTCTCTACGTTGCTCCACCTACTTTCTTCCAATTCTTTTCTGAGTAATAGACGATGCATTTGTACAAGGCACCTTTAAATAGATGATTTCATTTGGACAAATATGTTCGATAAGCAATCAGTAAATCATGCATATTGTTGGCTCTCAATAGTGTTTTTCTTTCATTTAAAAAACAACTACGCAGGTGAATAATCATATGTCAATACCGATTCTATGGCGTCTTGAAACTGTCATGAAGAAACTTTTTAACACATTGCTGCGCAAAACAATAAATAACATCGCTGATAATAGAGAATCCTAAAGCAAAAATAGTCAATGTCCGCCTGTTACATTTTTCAAAATCACTCAATATGAGATATTAGCGAATGTTACTCGTCTAGACCATTTCCAACTGCTTTATAAACGATGGAAGAATTGATCCTTAACATCATTCTCAGAAAGCATCCCTAGTGCTGTTTCTATGATTAAGCGTATAGCTCTTCTAATAAAAAGAAGAGTTCGTGACGTAAAACAATACAATCTTAAATTATTACGAGAGTTAGAAATTACATTTGAAACGATATCTGATAATATTAACCTTGTTGCTTCAAGAAGAGGAAGGTGCTAGTAAAATGTGCTCTCATCTACTCTCGACATCGTTTCATTTGCCGTTGATATCAATCGATAGAGCATACGTATCTATACATATGACACTCCACTGTAAGCCATTCTTTAAGGGAAAATTCATATTGGAGAATTGAAAAGTTCGTTCGAAAATCTCTTCAAAATTTATAAATCCTTCAAATTAAGCATCATATTTATGCCTGACATCCAATCAATCCTTTCTTATCTATCAGAAATATCTTTCAATATGCTTGTTTCATAAATCATATCCTTCATATTCATCATTCAATGATTTGCATTTCTTTGATTTATTTTTCTGTTTTCAATGCCTTTTTAGTTCTGTATTCAATAATGTGCAAAGCATATGCTGCCAGTACAAGTAAGCGAGTAACATACGATTTTTTTTTCGTTTCATTTCACACAAATATATGGACAAAAAAGAAAAAAGTAAACATGCCTGTAGGGAAGAGATAGAATACATAATGTGACTGCTTCTAATAGTTAATGGAAAGAAAAAAACATTAAAATGCAGTGCAGTAGTTTTGTTCCTACACTTGAATCTGTGCAAAGACGATGAAAAAGATCTGCTTCGTAGCTGAATGCATTGCTCGTCGAATGAACTGTTCAATGTGCACGTCAATTAATCCATAAGGTTACCGTATCAAATGGTCAACATTAACATCTATCCATGTTAAAAAGTTTTATAACATTGTTTCGTTATAAGTAGTCAGCATCTTCGACCTTCCTTTCTTGTCAGGTAGCCCGTCTTCCATTAAAATGTCTAGTAATTCTGAACGAAAGAGTGTGTGATCAAATAGCCTTTATTATATTTATCGTACCAATCAGAAAAATATGATCCAAATGTCTCATATCGTTGATTTAAGCCAGAAATTGAATAAGCACGCTATCGTGAACAATGTCGCATGTACAAGCGCTATCTGTTAATCTCCTCAAAGATAATACGATGAATTGAACTTTGCAAGCTATATTTTCCTTGATCTGCAAAGGCATCTTCGAACAATGCTCCTACTTTGGTTTCTAGCTCTTTTGATAGCTACTTGAACAGTTCTATTCTAACGACAATCTTTGGTTCTACTTTAAGAATATTAGCTAATGTCCTTGCAATTCAAGTCTCTCGAATACTTAATTGTCTATGAAGAAGAAAACCACAAGGCTTTATAAGATCATTTGGTCTAATAAACAGTCTCTTCTATGGTCACGAAAGAAACACATTATCAAAACCTCAACTCGTTCTTGATATTTGAATTAATTATTCAAGATGGAGCATTGTTATTAGATTAATATAACAAAATCGGAAGTGATTAGTGAATCAAATATATTATTGAATGAATGTTTTTCATGCTGATTGATACTTATATGACTTCCAATGAACAGTTTGCGATTAAATTGACTTAGGACAGTAAATTTCTTATCAGTTTCGTCACCAAATTGAATGAAGTTCGTTACTAATAGCTTTAGCATGATCGACTAAGATGAGGAAAAAAATGTTTGATTTTTTCACTCATTTGTAACAAATGAAATCTACGTTTTCTGTTTAACCACGGCCTAGGCATATTTTAACATTTTTTATCGATTTCGGAGAGCAGTTTTCTTCATCATGTTCTTTCTTTTATCCTGATTCGATAGATGACGAGTGCCACAAGAAGATGGGTGTGGGTGTATCCGAGCCACACACACATGCATATTCACAACTACCTTTAAAGTATACGTGATCATGAATTTTGGACGTTGAACTTTTCAACAAAGCAAAATAAAAATGTCAAGTTTGTTCAGAGTTGTAGATCTTGACTAGTTGAGCCTAAGAAATACTTCATCAGCGAAATTACATACACTTTTTTAAAGACTTGATATATTTCCTTGAACTTTGCTCGCTGCTCACAAAGCTTGTAAGCTGTCTTCATTCACAATTATCTAGAAATATGAGGAACTTTAGCCTTGTTCTAATAGCGAAAATCGTGGATCAGTAACTGTTCCTCTTGAAGAGCTATTTGAAAAACAACTATCCTTCTTTTATTTTGAAACGGATAATAGTTTGAAGATATGAATGTGTATAGATTTTCTCTTCATCATCATAACCCTCTTGAATAGGTTAGTTTGCAATAATTTGGCTTCAATTGTTCTCTGCGACACCGGTTGCTATAAGATTTTGAGGCTGCCACAGTGGTTTTCGAGCAGGATGTTGCATTGCGGCTTCCATTCTAGCTACTTGACCGACTGAAAACATCCTATAGCATCCATATGCACCACTATAGTCCATATAATTTTCACTATTCACGAGTTGCCCAAGACAATTGTGCACAGGTTTACAACCTTGGTTTCCAACAGTTTGTGGTGTATCGCATACTCGATCTCCAGTTCGATCACATTGGCCTTCAGAAGAGTTCACGCATCCATGTTCGAATGTGTGAAAGAGATTAAGCCAATGACCGAATTCATGAGTTAAAACTGATGAAAACTCGTCGTTTGTATTTCCATAAAGATAGAGTCCATTGTAAACGATGCGTGCCAAATTGGCATTAGACATACCAGAATCCGGATACCAAGCAACACCAGAACTGGTTAATACACCATTTCCATATATATCCAACTGAATATACACATTACAATATTTGTAATTATCCCACGCTTCTTTCTGTACATCACTATTAAAATTATTCGTTGCATATCCATTTTTTGCTGGATGGTAAACGATTCCAGTTGTTGGACGTCCACTTGGATCTTTTTGAGCTAGTTTAAAGGTAACATCAAATGTTGACCTTCTTCCTTGAAAAGCTGTATGAACTGTATGGAAATCATTGTTCAATCCATGAAAATCCTCATTCACTTTTTCAATTGCTTTCTTTATGATAGTGTCAGTCACCCGGCTTCCAGAAAAATCAGTTCCATAAACATGAAAAACCACAGGAATAACGTAAGACTTGGGTGTTTGTCTCGTAGATATAAATTTTCTAGTGTTGATTTCGAATTGCTGGTTTTCTTTCAAAGCATTTTCATTCTGATCATAATACTCTTGCATAATCTGATCAGCATGGCATGAAAGTGGTGGAAGATGTTCCCAATTGTCTTTTCTTTCGCTGATCACTTCTGTGAATATTGTCAGCAAAAATAATATTGATGGAATGAGCACTTGTAACATAACCATTGTCTAAAATTTACACATGTCAGAAGAATGAATATATAAAGTATACATTGATTCTTCTAATATTCTAATGATTATTCATAGTCTCATCATGATAAAGACGAAATTTGAACTAGCCTATCGAATAGTACAAGTGGATGTACACTTATTTGGTTGTCATTTAACTAAAACTCTTAATCATATTGAATTAAAAGGAGCCCTCATATTTTTTTTCTGCGTCAAACTTTTCATATAATAGTAGCTCTCGCCTCGAATAATCAGGAGATAAGTCTTCTTGATGAAAGACCGTACAAATCCTGTCGTGATGAACAGTGACAGTCTCGATCAAAATATTGTGCAATTCTTAGCACTCTACATGAAAATAGACGATTATGACTCTGCTCTGATTTGAATATAAAGGAGGAAGGTTCATTCTAAAAAAAACACAACTAGTAAATTCAATGATTAGATTTTTTACTAATGGTAAGTAAAATTGAACACGGTGTTTGTGATCCTGCCTGTTCGATTGTACTGAAACACTCACTCTCAATGTTTAAAAGAAACATCAATCACAATTATACTACCGAACAAGGGAAGAATTTTTCTATCGAGAAATATTCTCAACCCAAGCTTGATGCAACTGCTCAAAATGCAAGTATGAACATCTCTAGTTCTGCAATGTGGAATATTTAGCTGCCTTACAATTATGATACTTGCCTTAGATAGTCTTGATGCCTTTCGATTTTGAATCTTATTTTCGAAGAATCGAGTTGAAATATATCTATTCGCTTATTACCGTATAGATTAGTTGTTTAAGTCACAGCAGGTGTGTAATTCAATACGAGAAAAAAAACATAATTCTTAAAGTCATTTTAATTGGAGCAGCTGTCCTAATCTCACACATATTTTCCGATAAATGATTGATGCTCCTTGCATTTGATTTTAATATTTCGTATTTGCCGACATTTTTTCTATCGACTTGTCGTATTGTTTCAACTATTATACAGTAGATTTTTGGAGAGAAATCGTTTTATCTATTACTAGACTCTTGAACGAATCTCCGATGCATTTTTTAAAGCTGTAAAGCTCAAACGGAAGCTCTTGATAGCTTGAACCATATATATTGAGAGCTAAAGGATATTTAGAATCGAAAAGAAACTGTTATCACAATATGGATCATACAAGACACATTCAAAAATTGCTTCATGAATAGTTATTAGATTTACTCTACAACCTTGGATAGAGTCTTGACAATGCTAACTCATATTTACGAAAGTAGGTGTTGGCTTAAGTCTTCTATTCCATGACAAAAGCAACGAATATCGATTTCAATTTAAATGATTCGATAAAAACAAATCATAGCGTTCTCAAATTGCGACCATCATTATGTCTTTAGCTAGATGATTTTATTCTACACACTATGAAGTTTTGTCTAAAAAACCAGAAGATGAACTTCGATACAGTATTTTCGACATAAACATGTGCAAACTCATCTCATACTACTGAAAAGATAAAGTTGAGATACTTATCAGTCTTGGTCGTACATTTTTGAAGAAATCGAGAGATATTTTGAGATTTAGTAAAGTGACTTAGAACAAGACTGCTTTACTGACTCTCACTCTAAATACTCAATTAGTATGTGTCATCAGAATTCAATGCTGTCATATGAGTAAGCGTCACAATTCGCTAGCACATGGATGAATTTATTCCTATATTTTTGACAATCCATTTCTTATAAACGGTAATATCATTTTCATTTAATCCAATGAGTTGTAGATTTCCTTGAATTTGGGTATAGATACTGATATAAATGACAATTATGTGTTCTACACATCTCACACCGACACTCTTGTCGGGGATCTGATTAATATTTATTTCATTATTTTTTAGAAGAAAACTAAAATGGGATCAAAATTTGATTTTATAAGTTTTTGATGATGTTTGTTCATTTGTAATAAAAAAAAATATAGAGATCAAAGTTTTTGAGAGCAGGGTCTTGATTGGTGGAGTAATGTGTGATCTTTTAATAAATACTACATCGTGGGAAATATATATATTTGTTCTACTGCCACAAAACACATCTTTCCATATCGTCATGAATCATCAAGACTTCGCCTGTAATATGTCCAGCTGTTTTGTTCGAGGCCACAAATAGACATGCTTGAGCAATATCATCAATTGTACCTACTTTTCGTAAAGGTGTCGAGAAAAGTGTGTGCAAATGTTTTGCTTGTTGAATTAAGCTCTCGTTCATAGGTGATTGTATCGAACTAGGCACTACTACATTGCATCGAGCTTGTGAAATAATATTAATGATTTCATTTTTTAAGGACTTAATAAAACTAGAATGCAAACCACCTTTTGCTGTTGCATAGTCAATATGATTGGCACGACCAAATTTGCCTGCTACTGAACCGATCAATATGAGACTAGCATTAATATCATCATCATTCGATGGTTGAAGTTGTTTCAATTATCGACACTATTCACGTACATAGAGAAAGTATGATGTTAAATTAATATGGACTGTATCTTCCCATTGATCAAGTGATATATCCCAAATTGGAATATCATTTTCTATAAATACAACATGATTAATAATACAAATGTTTATAAGTTCAAAATGTTTACAAGTATCTTCAATTCATTATTGTACAGCTTGTTCATTAGTAGTATTGACAGAAAGTGCATGACTTTGCTCAGGATATTCTTTGAACAATGAACCTAAGGTTTCTACATTACGATGATAATGTAGAGAAATATCTTATCTAAAGAATGTTGTTTTTTAAAAGAGACAGACTTTATACGTGATTAGCTCCAAAGTCAATTGCGAAAGAAAAACAACATGTATCGATATGTCGAAATGATGCGGGTATGCATTTGACAGACTACATATACCGCATACGTGCGCACAAAATCTCTCTCAGTTTGTTAGTACAAATAAGAAATTTGACAAAATCAAAAGCGAATCCGCCAGCAATAAATCTCGTAGTGTAACTTGCATGTATACTCATGAGAGGTAGCACACAAGTGGGCCTAGGTAGATTTCTACTTGATATGTCACACTATAAGATAAAGTGATTCACCACTCGACCATTCTGTCTTATCGATTATCGCTCACAAATTCTCTTACACATTTAGAGTCACGGTGCACACGAAAACTTGCAAGACCCCTATAGATCATAACACAGTTTCTAAAATCATTTTTCATAAAGTACTTCTTGCAATTCTGAGGAAAACGATGTGCTTCACTCAATATTTGTAGATTTTAAGCCCTCATGCAATCGTTTTAAAATGAGCGTCATATATTTACACAGTTATGTTTCTAACTAATATTTACTTCCTATGGTCTCATATTAGGTTTTTAATCATTAAAAATTACTTATATGATGATTTTTCAGAGACTATTCGACAGCACTATTCATGGTAACAAAATAACAAAAGTGTCAAGCTTTACAGAGAGATCAGTAATAGAATGTGGTTTCATTTCTTCGAAACATCTAATAGAATAAAATGAATTTGTTCAAGTGTTGACTACATATTTGCATACACGCTTCTCAAAATAGCTTAAGCGAAGCATACACTCTCGACTATTAAGTTTTAGTCGGGGTGAATTACCCGCATATAGAAGCAGTATTTGTAAAATTTTCGCTACAGTGCATGCCAAAGCAAGTGAAATATGTATATGCGTGTAATTGCTAATGAAAATCTTCACAATGATGCGTAGTCTCCGCACACAAGGTTTTTTGAAATCAAAACGATTGCACATGAATGTACGTTTTCAGAGCTAAATGTCTGAATGTCTTCATTTGTTGGCGAATTTTTTAGAAATTCATGCACTTGCTTGCACGTATTTACAAAATGTTCACGATTGATTGGATATATAATGAAAGAAAAGTCCAATTTTTTTTAATAAATAATTCATATATATCATCATATTGCAAGATTATTACTACTGGTACTTATGAGCAACTATTAATTGGTTTTGTTTTCATTTTGAGAAACAAATATGTTTACTTTGAAATAATAGAAAGCATATATAAAATAAATCAATTATGTTTAGAACGTGCTATGTAGATAGTAATTTATTAATACTAATATAATATTTTTACGTAACACATACATGGTTTTTTTTGTACTGTGCATGATTCCGCAAGTGTGTTTGTAATATAGCAGTAAACATGATGCAATTTGCGTATAATCAAACATATGAATAGCTAGCAAGAAAGCGTTCTAAATATCTTGAGTTAAATTCAGAACGATGGATCTGTTTGGAGTTATAAAATAATATTATCCTGTCAAAAAAACAATCCTATTCAATTATTTTTACAAATTTTTCATTGATAATAAAAACGTTTTCATTAACAGATGCAGCATTTTATGAAGAATCCTCTAAAATAAGCACTAGTGGCTGTATGCACCAAATTTGTAAAGATAAAATGTTACTGGTCTGATATGAAAGGTACTGAAAAATATAGAAGGATTAATACCTTAGAAATTTACTTACACATTCTTATAATCGAATTTACATCAGAAAAAAAGATAAACATTTTATTCTTTTTCACTCAAAATATTTTTCTCAATCTGTTTGAAATCATCACATTCGATGATTTTTTAGTTTTTTTCATAATATTTTAATTTTTTCTATTGCACAACTCTGACTGAAAACTAAGGCGTATTGAAGAGAAGCTTTTCAAAATTTTATATTGCATATGAATTGAAATCTTGTCTCTTTTATAGAGAAATTTTTTTTTTCATTGTTAAAATCAGAAATTGAAATGGTGAGAATTTTTTGTTTCAGTTCAGCATTTTAACAAGATGTTTATTTTCCTTGACCATGACATCTTTTCTCCATTATAAATAGACATAAGCATTTTTCATAGAGCATTTAATCAAATTTACTAAACGACCTTTATTTAGTCTAGAACAAAAAGATACTTAAACAAAATAGTACAGCGAAAGTTAATACTAGATTTGAATATTAGTTGCGAAATTCATAATAAAAAATAATTTTTTTTTTTTTTTATCAAAAATTTTAACTCTTATCTTCTAAAACAAAGATACAATAAAACTATTCAGTTAACTATGTACTACAGAACAAATCATTGAGAAATCTCGATATCTATATTATAGATTTTAATCATGTTTCCATCACTGATAGGATGGCCAAAGATTTTACAGAAAATAGAAGTTTGCTTTTCTCATTTGTACTCAATGTAAACATTGATGTTTTAGACATATATCTAAGGCAAACTACTTAAATAGCTTAAAATCTATATCATAATAGTATGCATTGTTAAGAGAATATATGATGCTTTACAGTTATAACTATTTTGATTTCAATAAACCACAGACATATACTTATTGTTTTGTAGTTATAAAAATTAATTGTCTCAATCAAAAGCTTGTAAGTTTGAATCATTCTTCTCATTTAGTTACAAAACTCTCAGCAATTTTACATAATAATGAATTTTCGAACACTCATGAAAACTTTGATTAAAGCACAATCTTCTTCAAAAAAGTCTATGTTCGCCAAAAAAAAAATGATTTTAGAAGGAACTATGTACTAATAATTAGTTTCCTAAGTTCTCTACAACAATATGTGATCACTCTCTTGGATGTCAGATTGATATTCAAGACACTAATTGTAAGCTGTAATATCGATTATCTAGATATATGATATGCATATGAAAATTTATCACAGGAAAAATTTCGAGGATTTAACTTAATTCTGCCTCGTTTCGATCTCTATTTAGAGCTTCTTCTCTTTAAAATTTTAGTATGTAAATTTATAAAATTCTTTAATACAGCATCAATTTAGTTCGATATTGTGTTAAAAATGAAAAGATGTCTTGAAATCCTTTTTTATCTCAAAATGAAACTAATTCTTTTATGTTTTACATTTCAATGAAAACAAGGAGTAATTTGAAAAATCTATATAGCTAAATACTTCTTCATTTTTATCAATTAACAAATTTTCTTTAGAAACTTTTTCCTTGTAATACATTGACGATTTGATTTATATGCTGTAATATTCAATTCTATTCTCGATATAAAGCCTCATTTGAACTGATCCTACAAATTACAAATTCTATCTATTAGAACCTATTATTGATAAGTTTTCTTATACATAAAGAGAAAAAAAAAAACTTCATGTTTATAGAAAACAAAATAATTGATAATAACGTTGATTGGTTTTCCTCGAAAAAAAAAGTTCTGAATGTAAAGTTTAATTAATAGTTTAGAGTAAAGTGTTTATTCAATAGGATTGAATTAATCACATGCGTGTTTATTAGCATTAATATCGAAAGAATTTGAATATAATTGTCATGAAAACTCGTCAAGTTTTTCTTATTCTAATCATTTATTTCTACGTGTTTTTTCTTTCGTTTATAAATTTTCTAGTCAAAAAAATTTGTCACAATTTACTAATAAGCATTCTAAAAATACAATCAATGAACAATCTGCGTAATATGAAAGTCTAATGCCTATCGAACGATGATGATAAGATATGTCGAGAGTAAAAGAACATCAAATGCAATTACACAAACATATAAATATAAGATAACCTTTATTAAATATTCATTAATAATGACTTATTGTTAAAAAATAATTTGCTAAAAAAAAAAAAAAAAAAACTTCAATTCATTTCTGATTATACTTCGAAATCATAATAAGTTTTTATATAATTCAATAAGGAAATGAGGTTTTTTTTTGTTATGATGTTAAAAAATATATAAAAACAAAGAAAATGAATGGTTGTTGTATTTCCACATGAATGAAGAACTAATCATGAACAAGAACAAAGAGGTCGTTGTTAATAAGCGTTACTTGTCAAAGGTATATTTGCATTTATAGTAGCGTTATTCTCAACATCTAACATTTTGATTTTGCTCTATTTGATTCTAAATTAACCATTTCTTTTCTCTTATCATCAAATAATGTATATTGTATACTAAATATCTATTATTTTTTTATCAAATATGAGAATTAATTAACCGTAATAACATTATGGTTAGAAAGTGGCAGGTTTGTTCTTTTGTTAAATTTTTATTTTATTCAACTTTTATATATATATATATAGTTTCTTGAAAGTAAAAATCAAGTGTGTTGTAATGGTCGTTGTGTTACCGGTCATAATATTGGTATATTTGTATTTGCTCTTTTTCTAATCATTGTTATATCTGGACTTTTCTTTGGTTTCGAGTAAGATTTCAACGATGAAAATAAAATAAACTTCTATAAATTATTCTAGTTGTCCTTATCTAACCAAACGACTTAGTCCAGCTATACCAATATTTGCTGCTATTTTATTTCTTATGGTTATTTGTTGTATTGTACGTACAGCATTTACAGATCCAGGTATTCTTCCTCGAGCAACAGCCGATGAAATACTTCATCTTGAAAAATCAGGTTAATATACATAAGAAATTTATAGATACAATATGATCTATCTTTTGTTATTCAATGTAGATAATACACAAAATGTAACCTTATCCGGACGAATTATGGAAATTCAAATGCATACTGGACAAAAAATTCAACTTAAATATTGTCAAACATGTAAAATTTTTCGACCACCACGAGTATCACATTGTTCATTATGTGATGCATGTATTGGTAAGATAAATTAGAATAAGATGAAATGAAAAAAAAAAAGAAACTTATATATATAATATTATATTTTATTTTTAGCGAATTTTGATCATCATTGGTATGTATTTTAATATTGATTAAAAGAATGATTAATTTTTTTTTTTTTTTTATTAGTCCATGGGTTGGAAATTGTGTTGGTCTACGAAATTATCGATATTTTTATTTATTTTTATTTTCATTATCAATTCTTTGTGTTTATATATTCGTTTTTAATATTATTAATATTGTTTTACGTAAGTTTTTTTTTTATGTATATAATTTGTACTATTCAAATTTAAAACTTATGAAAAGATAGAAAACAGTTTCACAAAAAACAAAATTGGGTTTTTTTTTCTCTCTCTCTTTCTCTTGCAATGGATCTAAGATCATCCCCGAATGACTTGATCAATTATATCTTTTGTTTTTTGATATGAAAGTTAATAACATTATAGTTACTTCGAAATATTATCTTAATCCTATTATTGTTATTGTTATTAATATAAATATGAATAGGAACACAAGATAAAACAACAGTGGCTGATGCTATTCGAGATACACCAGCAACTATTGTTGAAGCTTTAGTATGTTTTGTATCAATTTGGTCTGTTATTGGTTTATGGGGTTATCATACATATTTAATTTGTCGTAGTATTACAACGAATGAAGATGTAAGTATTTAAATATGATTAGAAAATTTTATATTTATTTATTCATCATAGATTAAAGATACATGGAATTCATCACATTATGGTGAAAATTTAAAAAATCCATTTTCTCGTGGAAATCCAGTGTTAAATTGTTTTTCAACATTATGTGGACCATTACCACCGAGCTTTCTTAATTTACGTGTTATAATTCAACAGGACAATAATATACCGATGACAACGACAGGAATGAACAATAATCTACAGGAAACAATAAGATATCATCCCGATGAGAATGGCATTTATAATAATCGTGTGGTATGTTCTCTATATTTTTCTTTTATATTTGTAATAAGAAAAATCCAATATTATTTTATGTTTCTTTTTTCTCTTCAGTGGGATAGTTCTACAGAAAATCCACCGTATTCTTTTCAACAAAAACAACAGCAACGTCCTCATGTACTGCGTAATTATGTATAATATGTCAGATAACTTTTTTTTTTCTTCTTGTTGCTTTTTGTTTGTTTATTTGTAATCTATTTAATTGAAATAATTCCTATTCTTGTTTTGTTTTTTTTTTCTAACTAAGCACATATTTATCATGATGCTTTTTTTTGGCTTTTTGTCAATCAAAAAATAATAACAATAATAATTCATGGCTTTAAAATTCAGATCGAATAAAAAAAATATATATGCGTGCTGTTATTCAACGCGTTCTTCGAGCTAGTGTTCGTGTTGATAATGATATAATTAGTTCAATTGATCGTGGTTTATGCGTATTAATCGGTATTTTTAATGATGATGATCAAAACGATATTGATTATATAGTAAGAAAATTACTTTCAATACGTTTATGGCCATCAATTGATGGAAATAGAAATTGGAATCGTAATGTTGTTGATTTAGATTATAGTCTATTATGTATAAGTCAATTTACATTGCATGCAACACTAAAAGGAACAAAACCAGATTTTCATTTATCAATGTCAGGTGAACAATCGAAAATCTTATATGAAAAAGTATTAAATCAATTAAAACAAAATTATAAAACAGATAAAATTTTTGATGGACTATTTGGTGCGATGATGAATGTAAATATCGGTATGTATTAATATTTATTTTTAATATAATAATAATTAAATCGAATTTTAAGCGTTTAAAAACAAGAAGAAGAAAAAAAAAGTGATTTTACAAGTAATCATAAAAAAAATCTTAATAATCATTTTGTTTAATACTTTCTATTGTTTTTTTGAACATTTGATAGGAAATAAAAGTTTGAATTTAACAGAACTATGACAATCACTTTAGATTTATGTAGAGTAAAATTGTCGGAAGTTTAACAGATATAAAAAATTGTTACTAAATAAACGTCAGTGACTTCTACTCATGTTTAATCTGAACAAATAATTTATTCTACCAACAATCTAACTTCCTGCAGATAAAAAGAAAATCTTGTTTTTCTTTGTTTGAATTCGAGAAAGTGTCTATTTCTTATTTAAAAATTCTAAAAGTATTACACAAAGAAGTTTGAAATTTACGTTATTGAAAAAATGGACCAATATATTGTCGTAACAATTCAAATTCTATGCCATTTGTAACTACCAAAAAGTTTGACATTCTTTTATAAAGAATGTTTGACGCATTCAAAATTAATTTACACCATCAGAAATAAGAGATGATTATATAGAATTCAACTATTTTTCAAAAGAAATCATTTGAAAAAAAAGATTTCAAGATTGTCAATAGAAATGTATCACATCACACATTTTAATTAATTTGTCGCATCAAATGATATTTCTATTGGAGTTCATATATATATATATATAATTCTATTTTTATTCGCATGATTAATGTTTGGAACAATATCATATTTCATCTAATAAAATAAATTTTTTTCTCTAGACATATATATTGTTTTAAGTTCTGCGAAATAAATTAATTACTATTTGTTTTTTTTTTTGTTATTTTAGAAAACGATGGTCCAGTCACAATTATTCTTGATAGTCGATCGAAAAAGTCCAATGCAACTGCCGACGATGAATAAACTAATTCTTATTTTCTTTTTTGTTAATCATAGGCATATGAAATATGTTATTTGAGTTTTTCTTATATTCAATCATACTCAAATTTCTCAATAAATTATAGAACCATAAATAAACTTTATTAATAAAAGACAAAAAAAAGAAGAGCTTCTATCTCTGCTCATTTTTCATACATTTGCATTTTTTATCATCATACATACACATACAAAAATACACGACGTATACAATTATGTTTGTATTTCCAATATCATTACTTGTCATTTTCTTAATGACTAGTGAATATATCATTGCGTATCCATCAATATTATCAAAAGGTATAAAACATAATCATCCAATAAATTTACGATTAAAACGTGATTTTGGATATTTACAACATCATGATTTAACAAGTAATGATAATGATGATATGCCAACAAATTATGATGAAAATTTACCATATATTTATTCGATTCTTCAACGACAAAATCATAAACGTTTAATTGACTTTTAAAAACAACAACAAAAATAAAAGAACTTTATTTAATTTGTCAAAATATATTATAATATGAATATGAAATAAAATAAAAGTTTAAACTTTAAAGAAAAAAAAAAAAAAAATATTATTTTCAATTTAGCAAGATAACCTTTTTAGTTTAACTTAAAATAGAATATCTTATAGAAAAAGAAAATGAATAGAAAATTGATTTTTTTTTGTTCATGTCAATAATTAATATGATAATAAACTAACACAGGGGAATATTCTCTATTAAAAGTACTTGTATTTTTTTTTCTATAATAATATCTTGATTGTTTCTAGCTTCTTGAATGATCAAAAAACATAGTATATAAATAGGAGTTCTTTCATCAAGAGATATATGTGTCAATTAGACTAATAAGTAGTTTGTAAACACCCTTCATTTTCTTTTTTTTTTACAGAATATTCTAAAATTATAAAAACTCTCTATTGACATTATCGAAAAATATTTCGATGATCTTAAAAAGAATTCATATCTGTTATGTCTTAAAAATTTTTTGTTTTTCGATAACATCATCTATATGATGTCCGATAATTTTAGAATATCATGTACTTATTACTATTTGAATATTTGTTTATTGTCTTTGGAAAAACAAGTTTGTTTTTTTTTTTAAATATTTTTAGTTTTCAAACTTTATTTTTACTATTTTATCATATGAACATTTTAAGACAAACAAAAGTAAATTCATATAATCATAAAGAAACGAAGAAAACAAAAAAAAAAAAAAACTTTAGAAAGAACGTGTTTTTTTTCTCGTTTTTGAAGTATCCTGCTCTTTTTATTGGACACAATCATGATGAGGCGAAAAGTGTCGAATATTTTGATGAAGAAATCCGTGAGGCAAATGAACGCATTTCCAGCTGTAACAAACATAATGAAACTGATGATGACAACGATCTTATCCCTTCAGGTAGAAGTTGTTTTTCTTTGTTATTTTGTATGTATCTACAAATATGCATTGCATCTTTTTCTTTTGATGATCATCCTTTAATATATTGCATTTTGACATCTCTATGTTTCTTGTCTTTCTTTCTTTTTTTCTCTTATGATCTTTTGTATCCGGTATAAATATATATATATATTTTTTTTTATATATAGAAGAAACAGTTTAAAAGTTTTTTCCTTTTTTGTTCTATGCACGAGCATTTATAATCAGTCATTAATGGATTGTCATATATGTAATGATGTGAGTGCAACAAGTATAATGGTACATTTGGCAACAATTGAAGAAGATATTGATGAGATTAATGACGATGATGATGATGACCCATTGGAATATACGATTAATAAAATTATGGATAATAATGGTAAGAGAATTTTTTTTAGGAAATGAAAATTTTATATAAAATCATAAAAGTAATTTTATCTAAATATTTTATGTACTTTAATGTCACTAAAATTTACATAAAAGATTTGTTTTCTGTCTTGTTTATGTTTGTATGCGTGTGTGTGTGTGTGTATCGAGAAATAGACAAGTCTGTCAAACATCAAATAAGTGGAAACTACCCTAAAGCGAGTCATGACGAACGATAAATCATCATTAGTATATAGATAGATATAAAAAAATACTTCCTAAGGATATTAATGATGTAGAGACGATTGACGGGATATGTGTCTATAGATATAAAAAGAAAAAAAAACTACCAAATGTATGTGGACAATACTTATACGATAAGATAAATAACATCTACAAATTTTTCTTTTTTTTACATCTAAAATAATCGATAACAACTATTTTGTTAATCATGTCTAATGAATTATTGCTGGATTAACATATTTTTCTTTTCTTTTTTTTCTTTTTCCATAACAATTTTATCTATTTATTTTTGCGTGCTTTGATCATATTTCCTGTTATTTAGACTTTCCATTACGTTTACAATATAAGACACATGTACAATATATTAAAAATGATATAAATGATGATATACATCAAATAAATAATGAAACATCAATAGAATCTACTACAACAACATCATCAAATAATCAGTATGAGTAAGAAAACAAGGAAAAAAAATATTTAATTTAAAATAAACTCTTCAAAATATTAAAAAAAAAAAAAAAGAAATAATTTTCATTTTTTATCTTCATTTTCTTGAAATTTTTTCACATACATATAAATGCAAAACATATTGTCAATTGTTTTACACTTATAGAAAGGAACTACGAATGAATGAGTTGTCATTATTCTGCCTACATGTAAGTGCCATTTTGAGCAGCATCATTTCAAAGTCTTCTTTCTCCTTTTTTTGTTTCCTCTTCTTATTCCCTAATACCTGAACACATACAAGTAAATGTTTCATCTAACATTTAATTGCATTCTTTCTTTTTTTTTTTTTTTTTTTTTTTTTGTCAAGGTATGAATGATGAGAAAAAAAAATTTATATCTAAGTGGTCTTCTTCATTCTCATTTTTTATTGTTAGAATAAAAAAAAAAGACAGACAAGAAAATCAAGCATGTTGAATTTAAAAAATGAATACAAATAATAACAACAAAAACTTATGGTGATTATTATTGCTTGTGTATAAAGATAAAATGTCTTCTACTTTTTTTTTTTTTTCTCTTCTCGATAAAACAAAAAGAAAATAATAATCAAATAGAGAAGGCTAGAAAGTTTAATCATCATATTTTTACTGCTGTACGGAAATCATTTCATATTATTTAGATTTATTATTGTTCGCTTTACGTTTTTTCTCTCATTATTTCTATTGACAATTCTAGAAAGAATAAAAAACGAGCACGCACGTATTGAGTTTTATTATTAACAAAGGAGAATATGTCTGTTGGTGTGGTATGTGTATATATATATAAAATGATTTCTCTCTTTTCTCTGTCTAGAAAGATATATTTATCGTATTTTATCTTAGTAAATCATTATCAATTTGAAAATATGTCGACATCATCAAAGATGTGATGCTTTTTGTTGTTAGATTCTCGGTTTTTTTGCTTCTTTTTTCTTTTTTTCCTCTTGTTACTCTTAGTTTTGCCCTCGAGTGAAGAGAGCGACTACATAGTTTGCTCTAATAGACATAACTGAAAATGATCGATGTAATAAATTTTGTTTCAATTTGCATGACAAATCATGAACACAAGTGAATAGAGAGATAGAGCGTAAAGAAGAAACGATAGAAATAGACTTATTTTTCTCTTCTATTATTATCAATATGTTTATAGACTTTTATAGTTGACTAACATAGTTATCTAAAAAATCTTGTTCACTTACATTGATTTGTCGTTCGATAGATCGAAACAAAATAAGAACAACTCAAAAGGCATATCATCTAGGATGAGTATTGAACTGTTAAAGAAGAGAAATATAGAAGAAGAAGAAGAAAAAAAAACATAAAAAGTTTTCTTGAAATAGTCCCTACTGTTTGACAAAATATGAAATCGGCAACTATCTGAACTAAATTGACCTAATCGACGATTGGCACCTATATTTTTTCTTCTTCTTTTGGCTTTCTCTTTTTAACGATGATGTGTCATCATCGGTTTCCGATTCATCCGCGCACCCTGTCGATTCTACCAAGGATATGATCGAATTAGACGAGAAGACAAGAAAAAAGAAAAAAAAAGAAGAAAAGCGCATCCTGACACACGGCTTCTTTTTAGTTGATACTAAAACGCAAAAAAACATTTTGTTGTTATCTAAACTATTATTATCATTAGTTTTAGTAATCACAATACAAATTCACATAGTAATAATACAACTATTGTTCCATTTATCTTTGTTACACATGACAAAATTAGTCCACAATTCGAATATCAATCATCTAGGATGGAAACATCGACAATGTCATCTATCAACGCGGATAACATAAGTTTAAAAGGTATCTCTTCAAAGAAGAAAACAAATATGTATAAAAAAAAACAAAAAAATATTTTGTTCTCTTAAAATATTATAGATTATTTCGAACGAACTTCTTGTCCTGGTTCACCAACCTTACCCGATAAACTTCTATCATCAGCATCAACTACTGCTACTTTATCACCTCCTGGAATTCATTTAGTAGCTAGTAGTACTAGTATAACTAGTAGTGGTAAACGACGTGGTCTTGGTTTAAGTGGAGTTCATCGAGCTAGTTATAAACGTGCACATACAGGACGATTAGTAAGTCATACAATAATAGGATACTATTTGAATATAATAATTAATAATAAATATATCCTAGATTCTTTTTTTTTGTTTTTTATTTGTTTCTTAATCATATAATTTCGATTAGATAATATAGAATTTCATATTCAGACAGAAAAAAAGAATAAAAATTATTCTCACTTTTTTTTTCAATCTTTTGTAGTCTCTTGATCATACACCATATGAATTATTTATTGAATTACAAGAATTAAGACAAGATGAAAATAATGAATATACATGGCATGAATGTGCTAGGTAAAAAGAAATGAATATAAATAACTATTATCGGATTTTGATTAAAATATTTTTGCATCAAATTTTTCAATAATATTCGATCGTTTATAGTTATCAAAGTTAGATTTTCATCATTACATAGAGCAACATTAGAGATATCTACCTGTAGAACATTTATTAAGTTCGAACATGTTCTTCATAAATGTATACGTTTTCTGTTGTCTATTCCTACAAGAGGTTCAAATTACATCAGAAAACGATCTAAAGAGAGAGAGTCGTAAAGTGTCCAAATTTTAGAGCACTTCATGAATCTTACATCCTTCCGATGCTATTTTACACCAACTTGAGTCTAGATTACTTATCGAAATTGACAACGAAAAAGATATCTATCTTTCAAATCTTACTGAATGTTATACAGATTAGCAAAAACTCAATCTTGAAACCTATAAACGATCGAAAGTTATTCAAAAAAAAAAAATAATGATTAACATTTGAATCAAAATTTCGAGAATAGATTCAATTATTTTTCATATAAATAGATGGATTCGATATGAAGAAGATTATGATGTTGAAATGGAACTATGGCAAGGTTTGTTTTTAAAAAAATA